AAAAAAAGAAACAATCGTTTCCGAGTTGGCGAACTTAACGACTTTTCTGGCAGCTGTTCAGTTCTCACAACATCTAAATATAAAATAAACTTACATAACACATCAACAACAGTGATAGGTGAACTATGATTGCCATCAGGAGACAGTGAGACACAGATGTAGTTCCCAGCGTGTGTTCTGTTCACACTCTTTATGTACAGAAACTTGCTTTTTCCTGTTTGCACAGGAATACCGTTTCTGGTCCATAAGACGGACGAACTTGCTACCTTCCTGTTGTGACACGTGATGTTAAGTTCATGACCTTCCTCCACATCCCGAGTAATATTTTGAGGTTCTGAAAATAAATGAAATAAACAGATAAATAGATAAATAAATTAGCAAATAAAGAAGCCTCGACTGTACTCCGGTTCTGTTGCAAAGCACGCTGGAAGCGGTAGACCATGAAAGAAGTGTAGGGGGGACACGTGATGTAGTCGAGTGTTTCTCCCTACTTCTTGAGTGCTCTACCGCTTCCTAAGTGCTTTACAACAGAACAGAGCACATTTCGGCTGGATTTTCAAACCAAACTTTATTTTCCAAGCGACTAAAAGTGGCGTCAGCGTGCGTCTTTTCTCTGATAAAGCACACTAAAATAAGCCAGTCACAATCCTTGTTGGAATTGTTCAAATAATTTGATTGGCTAATGAAGCAACAAATGTCAATCTCAAACTAAACTTCATTGAGTTAACCGTTCGGTTTCGATTGGCTTTCGAGAGAAGCCCGATTGCTTCGAAGTTCGCGTTTTAGTTTAATTTTATAAATAAGGATATAAAGGTTTCTAGTTCAGCATTGGCCGCATTGCGGCTCATGAAAACGTGCACTTTTCCAATGGAAATTACGAAATAAAGAGCTCGAAGCTTGCGGACGAAAAGGCAAAGTGCTGAGTTGTATTTGAAAGGAGCCACAGTTATTTGCGGTTTGCAGTCGCTTACGGATAATCGGACGGATAAAAATAGACGGATTATCCGTCTAAAATGAACACTGTTCCGTTTTCACACTAAGACGGATTATCCGTGCCGGACGGATAACCCGTCTTAGACGGATTATCCGTCTGTAGGGTGAAAACGGCCAATGTGTTTACATCCAATAAACAAGATTGTTGTAGCAAAATGTCTCACCTGGTAGTTCGGTTGGCAATGGAGGTGGATCCTGGATAGAAAAACAACAAGTATGTGTTTATTTTGCCTCCAGTCTAATCTACACGTCCTAAGGTGTTAATGGCGCATTGTTTTGTTATTACTGAGAAACTTCAGTAGGAAAAAACTCAACAGTTGCCTTGCGTTCTCGGTGCAGATTCCAAGTAACTTCAATTTAACCTGTCAGAGCTCGTCCTTGCAATCAACTATAAGTATTAAAGCGAATAATGCGTTTTTACCTGTACTGAGAGTGTAAACCAACTTTCTGCAGTTTGTATAGGGAACAAATCCACTCGGAACCTGATCCCATAATCTCCAGAATCACGAAGTTTTACATCGAAGAGTTTAAAGGCCACAAAATAATCACGTGTCAAGTCTCCCACCCACTGTAAACGTTTCAAGTTCCACAACTCCACGCTTCCATTTGCTGACGGTTTTTGGATGAACGTCATAAGGTAACCGCCTTTAACATTGTCTTGGTCTTTATCCCAACGACCAAACTGAACTTTCAACTCCTGTGATTTCTCTTGGTCAGTGAGATTCAACTGCCATGTAAATGTTTGGTTAGATCCAGTAGATACCATTGTGGTTTTGTTCGGCTCAGTAACAAAACTTAACCCATAGACTTTATCAAAAACTGAAAACAAATAAGAAAATAATGTGAGTTATATTAGGATACTGCAAATGCGAAAATCCTGTTCTCACGAGAACAGATTTTGCAGAGACAATACTGACGAAAGGAACAGAGCAGGAAATGTGACAAAACCAGCGACTCTGGAATAAAAGGGAGATAGTTCAACGCAAGGAAAACTTGTTTAACAGGAAGACTAAGGAAAACGAAAAGGAAAGAGTAATAAAGGAGCAGGGACAGTAACATGCAGTTTGTAGCAAAGTAAAGGATGCCGCGAGTCAATTGATGTTAAGTGAGTCAGTACTAGCACCACTGACACATAGGAACCCATTGCTTTTTTTAAATTGTTTATGGTCAACATTGCCAGCGCTATTGCTCGTGGGCGCGAACAAACGACGACGACAAGGACGTCGCGCAATGCAAAATGGCGGCCATCATCCAGCTAATTGGTCGGCCAAAGAATGCAGCCTTGGTTTACAGCATACATGTTTGATGTTGGACATCCATGTTGTGGCAATTGACACCTGTAAAAACAAGGTATCCGCTGACCAATATCACGTGATCATGGCTGGTTAAATCTGTATATTCTATCTATTTGTTACATTGTAGGAAGAAGACAACCAAAGGTTTAAATTTATGCATTGCTGATTTTTTTGGTCTTTTGCAGCCCTGGTCCCAGTGATTTTCTATTTCTCAATAAAATGTGAGCCGCAAGGCGGCGAAAACGTGCGACGAGCAAGGAAACGTTGTCATTGTTGTTTATGGCTGCAGAAAGAAAGAGAACCTCTGGGACCAGCAAAGTGTTTCGCAGAGTCTAACCTCATACTCATATAGGAAAGAAAAGGAAACCCATGAGTTGATTTTCTCATGGCTATCATGGCTAGCGGTATTGCTCGTGGGCGCGTACGCACGACGGCGACGGCGACGGCGGCGACGACGACGACGACGGAGTCGCGCAAGATGGCGGCCATACTCCAAATAATAGGTTGACAGAGATATGCACCCTTCCTTCACCGTGAACTTCTTTGATATTGGACATCTATGTTATGATCAATTGACATCTGTCAAAACAAGGTATCCGCTGACCAGTATCATGTGACCATATCGCGGGCTCAACTTTTGCAGCTCATCGAGGTCACGCGTTTTTTTGAAGTTGACCGCTGACCAAGTGCTGGCTTTCGATTGGATTGCGGGATCGTGTCAGGTTGACTCGTTGAAAACAGGGCAGGACTGTTCGGAGGGTGGTTAACGCTAACCCAGGATTAAAAGTTAACCGAATCATAACTTCTTCTTCTGTACAAATTTTTTCGCTGCTTTGTTTTGTATATGGTGATTCAAGTTTACACTCAAAACAGAAGGCTAAACGATATAGAGAAAACCTCATTGCAAAGTTGAAAACTCAAATCGAAATTCTACCTTTTCGATTCCTGGGTTAGCTTACTCGGGCTTTGAACAACCCGGCCCAGGAGCTACGCTTTTAGGCTGGCCTTAATCTGTATATTATCAATTACACCATGGCTTAGGTTTTGACCAACTTGTTAACCCGCTCCGCATAATCCAAGTGTCCTACTCTGGTTAATTGCTGGAATTGATACTTATTGCAAAAGTTACAGCCCGGGAAGATTTTGTGCCACATCCAGTATTCACCCCATTATTCCGACCATCAGTTCCATCAGAGTTTGCCCAAGCCCGACTTTTCTTGAAGATTATAATGTACATGCTCTTTTCCTTTTACCGGTCCAGCGTGTGTTTTCAGACTCAAGAAAACGAGTTACAAACGTCACCACGTTGATAATACTCCGATATCGATGTTTTGAACATTCTGGGATTGATCTCATAAATTCTTTTAAAGACCCGCGTTACGCGTGCCGTACATTGCTTTGATTTGTTTTCTTAAATCTAAATCGAGTGTTTTTATCTAAACGCTTAGCCAGGGTTATAACAAAAGCCCGCTCTTCAGCACTACAGTGGTGAAAACCTAGGTAAACATACAAATTGTGAGACTATAACCTTTTGCGGAAGGACAAGCTGTTAAAAGCAGCAAGATGTTTATAAGCGATACAAGAAGAATTCACTCCATCGTTTGGCTCAAAATATTTATGATGATGCCTTGGTGTGTTTCAATTTACTAATTCCATTTTTAAAATTCGATAAACATGTTTAACTGAGGAGAGAAAAACAAGTATACTTACAAACCGTCGAAAGTAAAGTGGTTAAAATACAGTGGGTAACAATCATCTTGAGCTGATGAAGATGGGAGACAACAAAAAACTTCCTTGGACTTTTCCGTTGAAGATGTACCACTCAGTTTTCGTATTAAACTCAGTTTCTACTTTGGGGCCATCACAAGAAAATACCTTTATCCACCTTTTTGGAATTGACCAATCTGAAAGCAGGAACGAAAGACTATACCTTGACCTGTCATGGTCATATCAACGAGAGGATAGAAACTTCAACGGTTGAAAACGAAACATCTGGTTTGAATGATTGCCAGTTTGAATGATTGCCAAATAGATATCCACGCGAACTTGTTCTTGAAAACGTTTCGCTGTGACGGTTTTTGAACTTTGGCTTTTTTTGTGGTATGGCCAACCCTCATCCTCTGTATTGACTTCAAACCTAAGCAGGTTGACTTCCTGTATGTTTTTCTGGTTGTATGATTTCACTGTTACCACCTCCACTCTGTTCGAAGAGATTTGCTTGTTTGTAAACTTTCATTTAATGTAATTTTGAATTTAATTTAATTTGATTTCTGCTTCCTGAATCACTTGCTCTACAAAGCCTCGGTGTATATTTGGCCACCATCTTAACGTCCTGAGTAGCTGTGTGAGCCAGATGAAGCGGCACTTAATGGAACATCTTCATCGTCTTTAAGTATATGAGGAGTAAATAATACCTTCGCCGCGAACCTTGATTTTCTTTTCGCGAAGAATTTCCATTGAGTGGTTACACTTATTGAGTGGTTTGCCTTTTATCCAAGCAAAATTGAGTAATTATTCACTGAAAACGCAACATTGAGTGCCCATTAATAATCGAGTACCTGGAGGATCGTAGCTAATTCGATATGTGTGTTTCAAAAATAATATGCAAAGATCATGAAATTTTTTTTGTTAAATCTTAGCTCTCCCTCGAACGGGAAATGGAAACAAGTGCAATCATCTAAGGTTAGCGCAAGGAGGAAAACGAAACTCTCAAAGTCACATGTTATAAAATGCAAGGAAGAGAATATGGGCTTATGGATTGCTTGAATTTTTTTTAAGCAAAAAAACAAGCGTTGTGGTATTTCAACTTGTTTTGTAGAAATTATCCGTCTGAGTGTTGGGGACAAGTATCACACTCGAGTTAAGCTGGCTCGTCAGCAAGTAATGCTGAAGAGCATTGATATGCCATAACGGTCATTCGAGGATGTCTTTCAGCACACAGCAAAAGGAACCACCTATTAAGCAGCTAGCTCAAGGAACTGCTAACCCGTTCCCAAAAGCACACTTTTTCCCAAATTTGGAAAATGGCGTTATTGCATTATAAGAATGAAACTTTCGAAAACGTGCCCGCGGAAAGGAAGACAACAAACCAAAACAAAGGAAGCTTCCAACTTGAAAGCTTTGCGAAACACAATTTATTTTAAGTTTAACCTTTATCAATCTAACTCGTTAAACTATAAAATACTTCTTAACAGTTGTAGCAATGGCAAAAATTGCATCAGGAAAGTTCTATCTTTATGTCACATGGCACGGTATGGTGGAGATGCAAAGCAGTGCGATACGAAAAGCTAAGGATCTCGGTCTCACTTGAGAAAGACATAATTAGCTATATTTTTTTGGTTGGTTCTTTCGTAAATTATCAAAGCTGTAGCTTTATGGCTTTCCTTCCGGAAGTCAGTCTTGCTTGTCACGCGATCTTCTGAAGGAAAAGATCCCGCGAGGGCCAAAATAACGAAAAACCTTTTATTTTGGGCTATCGAAAGAAAGCAAATTCAGCTCCTTAAATTTACACCACTTCCGGGTGGCTCAAACTGATAGGTTTAAATATATGGTGTTTGGTATGAAGATTGACGTGACTAAGGAAGTATTCTCGTAACATCACTTTATTTCCTAATGCTTCTTTTTACGAAGGCCTGAAATGTAGAAATGAGAAGACATCAAAATACGAAGATGTATTTTAACAAGAAAACGCTTTGCAGATAAAATACAGTAGTTATATCTAGTGGAATGCCGGAGTACGGCGTTTATAGATGCATATTACGAAACACTAAGAAACAATACCCAAGAGACTCTAGCTAAAATGAAATAACAAAATAACGAATATATTATACTGGATGTGTAGTTTCCTCGCTGAATAAGGACAAGGTACATTGTATTTAACTAGCACGTAATCTACATAGCGTTTATCATTAATTTTCAGCACTGAACTCAGCGGTAATTTGCATTCTGACTGTCACGATTCTGTTGTCATGTTTGTTGTAAATAAAGAGACAAGATGTCTTCCTCGGTCTGTTTAATATTGATGTATTGATGTTAAATCAAACCAACGTTTACCTTTCGCGTCGCGTTTGGATTTGTATTCTTGAATATGTTTCTTCTCCTTTTCTACTTTTGACCTGCGTGTCGCGTTTGCCCACCTATCCGCCCAAGCTACGAAAAAACAAAAATACGAGAAAGCAGAATATTAATGGGAAATTAATACCAAGTAGCTTTTTCTTTATCGTGTATTTGATAGTTTCAGCCACACCTCAGTTACACCTTAAAGAAGTGTCTCTAACGAGGGATAATGCAAATCGCTCGAAATCAATGGTTAAAAGGCCGTCATAATAAGCTAAAAATGCCACATCGCTTATGTTTACAGGGAAGTTTTTTGTAATACTAACATTGTTTTGTTATTTAAATGTAAAAAAACAAAACAAAACAAAACATAAGTACTCTTTGTTTCAACAGCCAGTAGTTCTCCGGTTGTCACATTAATGACAATAGGTGACGCCACTGATTTCTTTGCAATACGTTATTTGCATTTTCTTAAAAGATACCAAAAATGAGTCGTGTTTGCATATATTCTGTATATCTAGCCTTTTTTCCTTAGGTCTTGTTGTTCAAGCAGTAGTTATAGGATAGATAACTAAATGTCAAGGATTACTCAGTTTAATACTTGAAGTCTTGACCTTTTCTCCGAAACACCTTATTACTTCCTTTGTTTGCCATTATGTCTTAAAGGAATTATTAAAAGAATATCTGAAGACCAAAATGATCGCAAAAATGAGGAAAAGACGAGAGTTTTAACCATGCACGCTAAAATAGGTTAGACTACATTCGTTTCACTCACGTCTTAAAGCCAGTTATGATCTAAGTTCTTTGCAACAATGTTTAACAAAACAATAATGTTAATGAATTCGGTTTATCCTTATATCCGGACAAAATAAGGTTGTTAGTCTCGGCCTTCGGCTTCGGCGTCAGCTTATAATATTTACCTCGCCCTTGGTTATTCTGGATATCATTAAAACCCTCTTCTAATGAAATTGCGTAAAGCTGGACTTGGCTACTCACAATATCAATCTAGGCCCATTTATTCAAAGGACGTATAACATTGTCCACTGGATAAATCACTATCCAGTGGATAACGTAGTATGTGTTCTTATAAGCCGGAGTATCCAGTTAGTAATGTTATCCGTCCTTTGAATAGCTTGTCCTGAATGGGTACAACCAGTAAATTAGGGGTCTTTTAACGGGATTTCCCAAGATAGAAACTGTCCGGCTAGGAGCTTCAAACAGTTTAACGCTTCTTCTTTAAGCCGCGAAGAGGAACCGTAAAACAGGACTTGGTCTTACTGCTAGCAAGTGGACTTTAGGTTAGGGCTGGGAATGCTGCTTGAACTACTTATTAATCTGGTTTTGTCAACAGTTATAATATATTTACCATCTTCTGGTTGGTCTTTCACTGGTGGGACGAGATTGGCAGCTGCAAAGTAAAAACGATGGAATACAGTAGTGATCGATTAGTTGCAATACATAACCAGACAATGTCATTACTGAAGAATTGAAGAATTATTCTAAGTAGCCATATGTTTTAACTTTTTTCAATCCACTCATACATCATCTTTCTAATATTTTTCTGAAAAAGCGTTATGAAATAACAGTCACCCACTTCAGTCGATTTGTCTATATCTAGTAGCTCAATTATGATCGATAATAAACCATCCCCTCAAAAATTCTTGAGAGAAATAAGATTGTCCTTTAGTTTTCAGTATTTGTTGTCCCAAAATTCCCCTGAAAAAAGATTTAGAAAGGTAATGAGCTCGTTTAACTGCTTCCAAAAAAACCGACTAAATAATCAAGTTCCCACAGGATTCTAAACCTCTGCCGAATCGTCGCAATTTGCAAACTGCATTACTTTACTTTGAGTTGCACTATTCTTTCAGCTATTTCGGCCTCTGCGATCGCCGAAAGCAAATTTCAGCGAGTTTTGCGATCGGTATGGAAACAACTCGTCGGCGTTGGGTGTCAATAGGTGTCTCGATACAGTTGAAACTTGACCATACCTAGAATTCTAAATCAGCTTTTTACCAATCTTTCCTTGATCGAATGGGCTTGAAAATTACAGTAGTTATCGGAAAAAGATTGAGGTTTGGCATAATGTATTTTTAGGGCAAGCGATATTTACATTGAAACAAGGAGGAAAAGGACTCAAAATCGTTAAAACTTGAATCTTGCACGAACCAGATCAGTTGCTTTAAAAACGCTAATGCTAGCTTTCATGTGACGTCATCAGATTCAAAAATTTAACACTACCTGTCCTCCTGACGTTTTTGTTCTATAAAAGACCCTTGACAGAGTTCTTCTTTTTGTAATAGGGCACGTTTGAGTTTCCAAGCTTTTGAGCCGCGTGATTAAAATGGCGGCCCGAGAAGATCGCGAAAACGGAAATCAAGAAAACTTCCGTGACGTCAAAACATAACTTCAAAGTATATTTTGGCACAACAACAAACTTCATCTGCCGGTCCATTTTCTATTAATTTGCAAAGAGTATGGTTGGAAATGTTTTTTTAATGGACCTCTTTACCGAAATCAAGCAATATCAACAATTTTCGAATTTTTCATATCGTCAAAAAACCATCTCCATTGATTAATTTATCATGCTGAATTTAGCTAGTACGCGACGTTCCATTAGAATTCGTTGCAAACTGATAAAAATTTTGGGACCCCAAACTGCAAATTTTAGCAAAGAACTGTATATAAGAGGGCAACCGTTGCTGACGTGTGGCAGGCAATCGTAGCGAGTCTCGGAAAAACAGTGGTAAGCCACCTCTAAAAAGCAGCTTAATAATTAAAAGACAGACAAGAAATGATGAAGGTAACTGAACAATTATCCGTGCTCCATAATTAATGACGTAGAAATCGTCCGCGTGTACAAATGGTCCGTTGATCATATCAAGTTTCTTGTGGCCTAAACCTCAATCAAGTTAAATTTGGAAAGAACTGATATACACGGAAAATAGTTCTCTTACCTTCATCTTTGTTGGTGACAGGACAAATTCCTTTGTAAAACAACATATTTGTTTTCAGAATCAGATGAATAAGTGCGGAGTGAGAAGGACTTGAATCTACTGTACTGTATCTACCATACTTTACGCCGTGTTCAGTAAATTAGCAAGATGACATCAATTCAAGTTGAACTGTGTGCTTTCTTTAAGACACTAGCTATTTTGTTGAAAATAAATTCTCAAGCTCATTAATAATTCATAAAGTTTAGACAAAGGAAATCATGACGGTGACAGTGTTTTGATATCTAATCTTAATTAGCATAGATTTAAACGATTTTATCTGACCGTTTTCTCCTTAGTTAGTTTCGATTGAGAAGATATATCAAACACGATGATTATGACGGCTACGACAATGATCGTGTTTATAATGTTGATCATGACGATGACGATGATGAGGTAGCTGCCGTAGTTGATTGCAGTGTCGCATAAAAAATTCAAGTCTAATTACCTCTGCATTTGAAGACTGCCACTCTCATGCACAAATCGTCGGTTGCTGACTCCAAAGGGATAAATCGAATGTAGCGTACACTGATGGCGGGATTAAGGTGATTGTCCACTCGAGTGTTTTGATCACTATTACCATCCATGATCTGCAGGCAAAATTCATTTTGGGAAAATTGGCACCAAAAAACATCATGACTGTCTAAGACGAATCACTGACATGCCGGCGTACAGGAATCTTTTCTTACGCCTTCAGGTCAGTAAATAACGGTACAACAGGAAAGGCCAGACCAAAAACACTTTCCCTGCGTGTCAAGATATACCGTAAAGTTCTGATAATGAGTCCTGGACTTATATTTGTTAAGAAGGTATTTTTGGGGGTATAATCGGAAGGCGTTCTGTGCTTTAAAATATACTGTTTGGATTTATTTGGAAAGAATATCGCGTTTGAAAAATTCTAGGTGCTATAAATCAGAATTTAAAGTTATATATCTTTTAATCAGAGCTAAGTCAAAACATAATTCCATGGGCTTATATTTGAGGGGAGTCTTCGTATCGGAAGAAAATTTCCTCTGAGGTCCCGGGGTTCCAGGATAAAACTTACCGGAATGTAACGCTAGGGGCCGGGCGTATTATTTTTCAATTGGTCGGGTCCTTCTGCAAGGATCATCACTTTTGACTTGTAACATTTTCATGTTTAACGCTTTGCGCCAAGCTTTCGAGAGAGTGAGGCAGTGACAGTGTCAGGCCCGGGGGGGGGGGGGGGGGGGGGACTGCCATATATGGGCTACATAGGTAGGTGCCGCCGTGAAGGGTATGGTTTTCAAGCAGTATACTCTATATAAATCAGAGCGTTTGGGTCTAGAATAGGGTATCATTTTTCACAAGACTGACTAGGTGGGTGAAGATTTTATCTAGACTAAGGAAACCAGGAATTGCCACTCAAAATTTACGCAAATCAGCCTCAACAGTGTCGATAGATGGGGGATTTGGGGAGTTTTCTCTAGTATAGGGTAGCAAAATTCAGCTGAACTAGCTCTGGTATAGGTTAAGGGTTCCAGGGTTCCAGCGGCTCATCCCCACCCAGAAACTCCCAAAGTACCCCCCCCCCGGGGTGTCAGGACAGTGCACGGACACTGGATGGCTAGCCTCGAACCATGGGACCCTTGCGTAATATTTTCGCATCTGCTCTCTGAGTATTAACTTGAATGTATTATTTCGCTTAATCCGTATATTAACCAGACCGTATTCTCTGCAGATTGATTGTCTGAGTGATTGCTTTTATTTTCAGGACAAACAATTTCAAATTTACAAAGCGTTGCAAATCATAACAAAATAAATGAGAACTGGTATGTAAACGATATTTCGTACATTGTTTAATCTTACCTACTAACAGCTGTGACTTACCTTACCATAGCTGAACCAGGTTAAACCATCCACGCTACAATTGATACTGAACTTGGTAACAAAATTTGGGTAGTAGTATTGCCCTTGAGTTTCAACCAGTCCGATAGTGGTGACTTGTCCAAGGTCAAGCTGAAGGTACTGGTTCTTATCTTTAGCTACAGCTTTGGCATGATCAGAGCACCAGGCTCCTAGTAATAATAAGCCAAGTATATTCTGTCAGTGCTCTTTTAGTATTTATGTCATCTTGGAGAAAGCAAGGAAGGAAAAGGTATTACTGGAGGAATCGACTTTAGAGTTAAGTAGCCCATCCTTAAGTATCTATCCTCTTGTAATTTCCTGTTTGATCTTAAAGATTCTCTGCTTAGCTTATGATTCGCCACCATTGGATATTAGGGATATCCTCTTACTGTGTTTATTTAACAATTATCCTTTTCAATCTCAGTGAATAGTGGCAGAATATTTACCAAGCCGCCTAGCCTCTCGGTGAATATTCTCCCTCTAAACGCCAAGACTGAAAAGAAAATTGTTTTAGTATACCGTATATACACGAAGTGATCTCAACAATAGACGAAAACGAAACCATTAAAAGTCGATTTCACTGACCTCTCAATTCATTCGTGGAAGACGTAAACGGTGCAAAGCATGCGTGAAACTACTTACGGAATTTTCGAACATAGCAAATCGATGAAATCCTTGTCACAATCTAGCAAAATGGTCGTTTAACATCGTTCATATCAGCAATCTAAATCGAAAGTTTGCTTGCAAAACTTGAAAATTCACTTGAGGTGAAAGTTTTAAGAATAGCGGGCGAAGGATCCACCTGAAATTATACTATGTGCGCTGGACTGTTGTGAATGAATGTTTTCTTGCACAAAGACGTTCTCCCGAATATTTGTGGAGTTGCTAGATTGAATATCACTTGATGCTGCTGCTGATGAACCCGTATACGTAGTATTCATTTCTCCCAATGCCGGGCGAAGATCGACTTGACGGTCAGGTTATAGATTGATGAAATTTCTGATTGCTGTTGATTGCTAAGGACATGTCCTGAAACTGCTCGAACGTCGAACGTCAGTAAGTTTTTCCTTACGTTTAAAACTTTCAAGCCAAATGTCTTAGCCTTCTTCGTATTTACTGCTCCGTCGTCTTCTTATATTCTCAGGCTTTCCGATTCAGAAACACTGGTGAAACGCGAGTTTACGCAGGTCATTTTATTTTTGATTGGGTCACGCTTTATTAACTCGGTAGGGAGTAAATAATGCTCGGTTAGTCAGAGATAGAAAACCAATCAGATTGCTTGAAACACCAAGATCATTGAGTGTGTATATACTAATAATTCATCTACAATGTTGACGGAAAAAAGGGAGCTACCTCTTCCCTTTGTGTTATTAATTTGACCCATAGAAGGCATGTGGTCAATCCTAGACTGTGTTATATCTGCTTCAGTTGGTCCTTCTGCGTAAGATGACGAGGCGTCGAAATGAGCATCCGGCAGTTTCACGATTTCGTATCCGTTACCACAATCTGTTAAGATGAGACGCATGTAGCGAATTCAATTAAAACATAATACAGAAAGACAGAGTGAAAGGGGGGTGGGAGTGGGTGAGATTGCAAAATTCTTTTATAACCCTGATGGTAATATGATACCACACTATAACAGATATTACCAACTCTCTTTACATCCTTCTTGAATAGCATCTTTATTACTAATCGATCAAGGGACTGCCGCTCCCATTGTACTCTTCCATTGCACACAATGGTCTTTTTAAAACAAGTCCCAAACCTTTTGCAGAATCGACAAATTTTACATTTTAGGGGTAACAGGTTAAAAACGTCTTTGGGTAATTTTCTAGTATGGCGAAAATCAATATCGAAAATTTTTAGTGGTATACCAGAATCAGGATACTTAATGTTTTCAGCCGCCGTTTCATTGTTTTGGAACACCAATATGGCTGCCATGACGTCTTGTACGTACACTCGATTCGAAGCTTTTGTCCGCCGTTTATCGGTGAGTTATTCCATACTTATCCTATGTGCTGTTGATAAACCACTTACTTTTTGGATCTGGGGATCCATGTACAACAACTCCGCTTTGTTGAGGAGGCACTTGTGGTTCACCAGGTGGCGGTTGTGGTTGTTGGGGTTGGGTTTGTGGTTGGGGTTGTGGTTGTGGTTGGGGTGGTTGTTGGCGTTGCGGTTGTGGTTGTGGTTTAGGTTGTGGGAAAGTTTGTTGTTTTGGAGGGACAGTGGTTGGATTTATATCTACAAGAAAGGTAGAGTATACTTATTAGTACGGGAATTGACAGATGTGTTCTTTGATTCTGAAGATCACTAAAAATAGCAGGGAATATAAAAGTGACAAGAATCAATTCTATTGGTCAATTCTATTGGTCTGAAAGGAGTTTAGATCGGTCATAGGGATTTCGTATGATATATCTCGTTGTTCCTTTATTGCAGCAGATCAAAAAAATGATTTTCATGATGTTAAGCATTCTAAAGCGTTCTCTGACCCTCAAAAGAGCTATTCAAAGAAAACAATCTTATTCCACAAAAGCAATTTTATTTGTGCAATATTGTTTGGAAGAGAGAAAAAGATCCTAGAATAAACTACCAATGGTTATCTCTTTTTACTAATGACATGAAAAAAAATAAATAAATCATCTGTTAAACCAATAGCAACTGAGTGGAGATGCAGAAGCAGCAACAGTTCAATTGAATAGCACGAGAAGAGATACTCCTTTGCGTACTGCAAAACTTTGGTTGAAAAACTAAATTAAATATACCGCAATTTATACCATGCCATAGAAAATCATGACAACCAATCAGAATCGACTGTATTACACCTAACCTTCCCATAGTGCGCCACGCGACTGTTGCATTGATTGTGTTGGCCACTGTATTTTATATGGCATGGTATAAAATAGTTATGTAACACTCTCTCGTGCTATACCATGGAATGTCTCGCCTAAAGACTTGTGTGTATACCGTGGGATATTCCATGGTATACCACTCGAAACGTGTTATAACTAGCATGTAAACTATATTTGGCTTATGAAGCCTCCTCAATCACAAGTCGTAGACATTTGATAAATCCGTTTTTCTGAGTTTTTAAACTCTTTTCCTGGCCGCGGTAATTTCTTCGTTTCTTTACTCCATGTAGCTTCTGCAGTTGTCATTTTTGTGAGGTTTTTTCTAGTTGCTTATCGTTTTAAGTATGAATAATTATAAACATGACATCATGATCCCAAGAATAAATAGTTAAGTAATCACTTCACTTTTTGCCATGACCCCTTAGGAGTAATTGGTAGATAATCAGTGAGATGGCAGTGACAGTCCAAATCAAACAGTGGGACAGGTTCCACAAAATAGATAAGAATTCACCCTGTCGCAGAGTTATGGAACTTTGTGCATTTGAGCTTGATTTGTTCATGATGTCCCTATAAAGTGTAACTATTAAACCTTATTTGTCAACTTTTGTGGACTGCTACCACAGATTAAACTAATCTTCCATTTATCCGCTCTTTGAAGATAAACCTATGAAACATTTTGGAAAACTTTTTCAGAGGTAATCAGGGACTGATCCCAAGCTGACTGCATGATTATATGATATCATAAAACGCAGTCAATATGTTCCTCTGGGAATGAAAATATTCAGCAGCCAGGAATAATGCAATACATACGATGGAACGCTTGTATTTGATCCCTCTGAGTTCTGTTTGTCTTTACGTGATGTTTTAGACCGTCCTATAACGATTTCAACGAATCTAGTTTCACTGATTTCCTCTCAATACTAGGATTATGCTATCAAACCTGTTATTTACGGCCTACAACATTACATGATCTTAAGTATGCAAGATTCCCTCATAAACTCTTATACCTACGGTCTTTCTCATCAACCTTTGGTGTAATTAATTCCATGGATTAGTATAAGTAATCGTGAGATGCAAGTGCAATAGGCCTTTTCGGGGTTAGTTTTTCTCATGTACATTACAATGTCATCCAACGTATATGCGTAAATTGCCTCACATACATGCTAGATTATACTGTAATGTAAATGAGAAAAGTTAGCCATGAAAACCCATATTAAGGATTTACATTGCGAGAATTCTTTCAAATGACTGCAATTTGAAAAAAATTAAATACATCTCGAGTATTGTAAATCCTTATTTGACGGATAAAATGAGTATAATTCCTTTAGTTTATTTAAAGTTGATGCAGTTCTGAAGAACTCTGACTGATTCCTTTACTGACGTCAGTTGAGACTGTTTTAGGAAAAGCTCTCATCGTTCAAGTTGTACATAAAAGATAAAGGCAATTGTAAGTTAATGTACATGTGTCGCAAGTCTAAAATGTAGACAACGAGTTACCTCGTGCCCCTGTTTCAAACTGAGTCTTCGTGCAAAACGTTTCATTTAAAAATAAGTGTGATTTGCATGAAAATGAACTTGTAGGCGGAACTCGTTTTCATGAGAACGGTTTCGCGCGACACAGAGGCAAAAGGCAACTCGGAAATGGCCTATTGGTGTTAATATAAACCTACCAGCGGTCTATCACGAATGTCGCTCTCTTATCGACTACGATGCTCACTTTCTATTCTTTTGTAGATAGCGAGTAACTTGGTACTGTGCTATTGTTAAAGAAGAAGATCGCTCCAATTTTTTTTTTTTTTTTTTTTTNTTGATTACCCTTCTTGCCTGGCAGTCCACCCTGCACACACAATCATATATGAACTATCTTAAAGGAGAAGGTCACTCCATAAACATATTTCACTAAATTTAGCTACTCACCGAGGTTTCAGCCTCTACAGTGCAGGTTTTTCTAATGAAATCCGTCTCCAAAGAATCCCAAAATTCCACAACTTTGCCGCCATTTTGAACAGTACTCAGCAGCCAGGCCGCGTTTTCGGGACGTCATTCCGTCCAAGGTATTTCCCACAAGCCTTTTAGCCACAACTCTGGGTTATTCCTGCTCTTGAGCCGTATTATTTCGAGCCAAACGTGCTCCAAACTCCGAAAATTATAGCAGTGAATCGAAGATAGTAAAGTGGTTAATCGGTTGGAAAAATACATTTTGCTGACCTTGTGACAACCTCATTCCCAGGTTTTCTCTCCTCTGCCTCCCTTGTTGTTGGGAGAAAGACCCTGGTTTCGGCTGGCCACGTGACCACCCGCAATCTGGGTGGTAAAAATATCTGTTGGGCGGGAGGGATTGCAGAGTTTTTTGATTGTTGCTATGACAAACTTTGTGGGTTTCAAATCGTCGAGCAGTAGCTAAAAAGTACCCGCTTTATCGGAGTTGGAAGTCGAATTCTGCGGATGAAGAATGCTACATTATTTCTGCCGTCTCCAAAATATGGAAGAGCTTCGCTCACAAACAAAATTTGTGAGTCGAATGAGCACAAACTTTTTGACGGTTAGCACATGTTAAACGTCACATACCGAATCTAAGTGAAACCAGTGGATCAGTCTCTTGAATCTTTGAATTCGGCGGTAATTTATTTTCTTCTTTGTGCGGTATTTTGGATGTTAAAAAGTATTTCTGTCACACGGCCGATTAGTCGAGTACTCTGACTTGCATTTGATTTACAGCAATGCAAAATGATTTACAGTTTTGCTGATATAAGCCCGCACTTAATATATTTCAGCTGGTTGGTTGATTCATTTATACTTGGGCAAGCATGAATTTTTTTCGGCATTTCACTGATCAGAAAACAGGTCTCCCCCTGTTTGCTGCTGAGAGGCTTTTTTGCTTATATGTTCAGTGGGTTGCTTATATGGATGCAATATGTAAAGAGTGTTGTGGATAAAATGCTTCTTGGCAGCGAAATTTCTTGTATTCCGCGGGAAAATGAAGGTTTCGGAAACCTTCTATAGGTTAATTTTGTCCGAAAAAAATTGATTCCCCACCAAAACATTTCACCATATTTCCTTTAGTGACGTTAAAATGCTGCTGCTCATCGGGAATATTGCGAAAACATACAAAGTTCAGAAACATTTTTGTTTACGCGATCGACGAAATTCCCGCCAATTTCTCCAAACTTGAAGCCTAGCGCAGAGTCAAAACTCGCGTATACTTATTACGTTTTTCCGCTCTGAAATGCTAAGTCAGTTGCAGGTTTTTCTGCTTACCGCCAGTTTCGGGTTGGACGGAATGACGTCACATAAACACGGCCCAGCTGCCAAGTACAGTTTCAAAATAGCGGCCTCCAAAGTCAATATTTGGACTTCTTTCGAAACGAATTTATTCAGGATATTAGGCACTTTAGAGGCCGTTTCTTTGCGTATTCGAGGTGTCTGTGAAAAGATTTTGGTAATGCACTAGTCGAGGCGATTCCAGAGAAGACTAATGTTGCAACGAGATACGCTATAAAGATTTGTCACTGCAAGAACAGAAAACGAAAAACGAATTTATGAATTCATTTTTCGTTAAAACTCTTAACCGTATCCTCGCGTGGCGTGAACTATTTATATCATCATGAAATAAAAACGTGAACCTGTCTGGTTGTTTACGTTTGAACGACGTGTAGATTTATACTAAAACAATCAGATTATTCGCTCTCGATTTCTATGCGCGATAGTGGTCTGGGACTGTGCCCTGCTCAACTATCAAGCGATGGAAAGCTCGAGCTCATAATGTAATTGTAAGTATAAACAGTGGCAGACTTAGCTTAGCAGTGATGCATTCGGTCCAATCGATACCATCATCAAACTATCCACAAAACTAAGGCAGTGCACACCCTTTTTATTTTGATAAACTGTTTCCTTTATGTACTTTTTGTTTATTACTGACGGGGATGCATTCTAAACCGGTCTTCATTACTTTCATTGCGACTTCTGAACAATAGAACCTGGCATTCTACAATATTCGCTCTTTCGAGTAGCAATGTATGAAAGATGGGAAACGAGTTATCAACGTCGCTAACTTTAATAGAAGAGGGTTTTGTGTCGTAGTTAATTATAAGCCTGCATTTAGCTCTGAGGTCTTTATGTATCACCGTTGCATACAATGCGCATTTCACACCACAGTTAACATTCGGTTGAAATTGTCTTATTCATAAACATTACTTTTTAGGTTTTAATGAACTGAATTCACGAGATGGAGGTTTATTTTGACAAGATCGCTCGGTTTAGGCTCCTCGTTTCCGTAGTTTATTTCCAGTGCTCGGAACTAGCTTAATTTTACGTCATTTGAAAAAAAGTAGCGGTTGATTTCTCTTTACTTTCAGGTAAGTATAGATAATCGTATTAATGTGAATACAATAAAGGATTTACACTACGAGTGAATTTTGAAAATTATCCCAAAGTTGCACGAGCCTTTAGGCAAACTGAAAGAATTTCATATATCACGAGTGGTGTAAATCCTTCACTGCTCCAGCTTGCATAAGATTACTTATATGTTATGTGACTGAAAAAAATGCCAATGCACTCGCGTTCATTTGCACTGCAGTGCACATTAAATGTTAGCAATATGTCAATCACAATGAAGTCTGAATTTTCTCACTCATATAACAAACGTTGAACTTGGTAAATTGAAATTCGTGCTTTGTTTGAGCTTAATTTATTAGCTGTTTTCTTCTCTAATTTTAAATCAAGGGCATTACAAAAGACAATTTTTATGCATGTTTACATGTTGCAAACTATTTGAGAAAATCAGTCTTGCTTAAAATTAGCTGCATGCAGAGGTCATGCGACCATTAATTTAAAAATCAACCACTATTGACTTACCATTGGAAGAAAGCAGGTTGGAGAGAAAGACAAAAACACTTTGTTAGTTTGTTAGTTGTTAGACAGGTTATATAAAGGCATTTAAGCAGTTAATTCTAATTATTTTTTTTAGTTGAGATAATTAGCCAATGTTAGTCATTTTAGAGATAATTAGCCCAGTGTTAGCGCGCTGAAGTGCAGAAGATTGCAGCATAGGAAACAGAATACTAGGTTGTCTCACCTAATCAGTGTAAATGCGATAACCCGCTAAATCTATTAAACTAAATGCATTTTGATGTTTTTATTTAAAACGTCTCCAGAGACATCAAGGTTCCCATATATTTCTTACTTTATTCACGTTAATTTTATCAATGATTTATCGGCATTACGGCGATCATATTGATATTCCCGTAAAGAATTATTTTCCCCTTTAGGAAATAAGTTCATTTCTTATGTAATCATTTACTATTGTTTGATGACGCCACTATGGCTGCCGTGAAAACGCTCAACGAAAAAAAAACAACGAAAAAGACACACCCACTTATTTCGTTCTATCTTTTTTTTATAGGGATTGGTGATGCATATGAAGCCTTGCAGCGCTAAAAACATCATAATGAAATAAAAATAAAATATGTTATCGTAGGTTGAGTTAAAATCTTGGCATCAATGTATAAGATGATCTCTCCGAGATGTTAACTTACCAGGTTTTGGGGTGGCTGCAGTTGCGTGATTATAAAAGGAGGAAAGAATTAACGAAAAACACATTAGCATTCTAAGTAATACCTTCTCTGTTACGAAGAATGATAATTTATGTAAAGCTAACTGATACCTGACTGTGCGTGCAAACTCTTCAGCGAGTACTATGTGTGGTAATTTTCAGTTTGAATTAATATCAGACCCACGGTTGGGTTTTGCTTTATTTTCAAAGGCTACCATTCGTAAGGGTTCAGCTTCCGTGAGTTGATTAAACCAATTGATGAAAGGTTGTCTTTGGGTCAAAAATCAGCTCGCGACTAAAACAAACTGAGCATAATATACATTGGAACGTCTTTGAGATTCGTAATATGTTTTACCCACGCGATTAGGGTTCCTCATTTAATGGAAGTTTGAGTTAAGCGATATCATTAATCCTTACATTGGCATTCCGCTGCTGATGCACAGGGATACTGTTCGACCTTTGCACCGGTGCAGTTGAGGCCTCCACTCTCTGGTACAGGGCTGTTGCATTCTCTTGTGCGCAACTTCACCATACAGGGATGCCTGCACTCAGACCATGCTGACCACGTACTCCAGCCTCCATTTACTAAACAAATTAACAAACTCAATGTATGTTATAATGCAAGGAGAGAAAAAACAACAATTATTGCACCTAAAACGTTGTCATTATATCAATAATCGAGGGCAAGTAATTAATTCGCTAAATGATAACACACCTATGCATGATAAGTTGGCTATTTTAGGAGCCTCGGTCAGCAATGTAGCAAAGTCGGCAATTTCTTTAACATGATCTGCGGTAGGCTGGCTGGCTATGAGCCCTAACTGCGCGGTCAAGGTCTTTTTATCCGCGTCCGAAAGACCTTCTTGAACTCCAATTGCATAAACTGCAACCTCTGCATTGTGTAACTGAGTGGTTGGGATGACTAGGAGGTCCTCCCCAGTTACGTATTTTCCAGGAGCAGTATACACTTGAGCGGAGGGCCCTCCAGTGATCAGAATCACCACCTTACTACCACTGCGAGGGGATGCTTCTTTGAACACGTCCAATGTGGCGTTAAGGGCAAGATCCGTTCTCTTGCCACCACTCTTATAAAAGATTTTCGCCAGAGTGGCTGACAAACTTTTATCGTCAGTGAATTTCATGAGTTTGATGCTTTTTTCTGGATATGACTGGTATTGCTCCACACCAAATCGAGCATACTTCAGGTCGAATTTGGAAGCAATCATGGAAGTAGCATTAATAATCTTCTCCCAGTTGTCTTTGCCAATCTTCTCAGAACTATCGAGGACGAACACAATGTCCAGGGGTTTTTCACATTTCTTCTCTAAAGAAAAACAAGCCAATGGATGAGCTCATTATAGCTAGTTTATCAACATTATGTTTTTGAATGGATTTATTCTTTCCCCATAAGAATTCAACAGTGACTCAGCAACAATAATAACTAACAGCTAACAATCAGATACATTTCCTCATCAGCCCGGCATCTATTCTGTCTTGTATCATCCCCTGCCTGTATATACGATGCGGACGATCTATACATTCACACAAGCTTATTTTCATCTGCCTACAATTGCAGCGGCCATTAAACAGACAATGATACATAGGCGCGCGTAGATATGGAATTTCTTTTCGAGTGTTCAACTCGATATGAAGTTGAACACGAGAAGAGAAATTCCATATCTACAAGCAACCGAGTATTATTTTTTGTTTTATAAACATACTAAAAACGACGTTTTTGACGATTTTCCGAAGTGTTCCGACCACTTAATGAAGATTTTCGAAGATTCTCTAAAAGTTTTCCGAAGGCCACCCTAACGTTTCCGAAAATTTTCCGAAGATTTTCGAAGATAGCCAAAGATGCCGGACTTTCTAGGGAGATCCCAAGATGTTTCGATCATGCACCAACATTTTTAAGTACAGTCAAAGGGTCAAACATGACAACAACGTTACGTCATCGATATCATCACAAAGAAAAATTATCGTAACTTCAAACGCGTGAAATTACGGCTTTTCTCAGGGCTGGAAATCCTTGTAAAACACCTTTGTTTGCAGTTTAGATAATTAAGTGTGTTCCAGTTGGCAATTTTTTTTTCTATTAATGCATTGAATTCACAGGTGCACTGGTTTTGTTTTTCACACACCTGTTTGACCACACTTGGCTGGGGCTGTAGAGCTGAGTGAGACATAAATGCTATGCAAATGTAATTAACCAAATACCCTGACTTCTTTCAGGTGGAATTCTCTCGATCCAGTATAGCAATGTAAATATGTTTACGTAGTACCCCGCTTAATCAGCTTACATCTACACAATATTTATTCAATTTTTACCCCGGGGTTTAGCAGGTTAGTATTATGCTAATTAGCCATTTACCTGCTGCTCCTGGGGCTCCAGGTGCTGGTGCTGGTGCCGGTGCAGGGGCTGGAGCCGGGGCTGGGGCTGCAGCAGCTTGTCGTTTAAAGATCCGCGGAATTCCGAAGCCTGAAATAGGAAAACAGAAGTAGCAAAGTTAATTTATACTGAATACGGCGGCCTCATTTGAACTCTTTGCAGTTGAAGAAGGTTGAATATACTAACGCATAAATCAGTTAACCCACAGAGCAAGAGAGCATTGGCTTTGAAACCGATGTTTTTGAAAGATTTATCATACATTTAATTTTTACATCAATTTATGTATTGATCAGAACTTGTTAGCGTATGTATAACAGTTTTAAAATGCAATAATTTTTTTTCTGCCACTAATTTTCTGTTTCACTCATAGAGCTCTTGAAGCATTAACAACCGGCTAAATGTTGATCTAATCTCAATCTCATTATTTAATAAGTCGCTAAAAACAATAGTACATCGGGTAAAGTTGCTGCAACGTTTTGACGTTGAGCGGAAGTATGATAGGGCAATAGCTCAGTAGATTCATAATAAGGCAGTGATAGTTCAAACAGCACTGTTTAATTTCTCAGATCAGTGCCGGACGAACAATAAGCTCATTCTGGGAATTTTGCTTCCGACTGAAAATCTGCTTTGTATACATGACACATGTATATTATGTAGGTTGCCTGAGAATGGAAACTTTTCTGCGAGGAAAACTGGGCTGGAATCTTAATTTATGACATTATTGGCATATTTCAATTTTGTTTACTTGAGGAGAATTAATGGGTGAATTATGGTTAATGTACTTAACTGTGCAGATGGGCTCTCCAGCACAAACACCCGCTAATATGGCTCATAAGAATACACTAATTTATATTTCAGTCATGTAATCTTCTATTCATTTTGCCAAAGAAATTACAATCATTTCCATTCAACGCCAAAACCTGCGCCGATACTGACAAAAAAAGAGGTTTATAGAATGGCAAAAACTGCACAGTGTTCCAGTGGGTCATTTCTTCCATGGTAAGCTTGCAACGCCTCAACAATCTTCCTGTAAGCTATCACAAAGTCAAGTACTTGTGCTTTTAGGTCCTCAATTTAAAAACTATTTAATAATCCCTAAGAAATAAAGTGAAAAAAAACTCTCTTTACTTGATAATAATCCAAATATTTCCTCCGCTTCTTCTTGGCGCAATCTTGGCGTGCACAGGACATAACTTTATAATCTTAGTTCTAAGTCTAAGGACTTTCTTACATTTTTGTTCTCTCCAGTTTAGCAGTAGGATGTTACACACAGCCAAATAATCTTAACTTTCGTCTTCCTCTTTTCTCCTATGTTACGTACGTACAGCCGAATAACCTCGAATCCAGGATACTAACATCAGTGTCACGATGGCCATAACAAAGTTTTGCATGCTATTTTGATAAGTTAGCTTACAATGTAAACTGCCTTTCTACTTCATGACAAGCTGAGTAGTTAACCAGCTTTTTACCACCAGTTGGAACAAAAACTCTAACAAGACTGATGCTTCACTGGCTTTGCTAGTTCGCTAATTTTAGTTTAGACGATCTCCTCCGTGCATGCCAAGTGTTGATGATTATTTATTTCTTATTTAGCTTATGGGTAATCATTAACTTCGTTTGGTATTAAAAGATATTCAGACGGCTCTTACCTTCTCACAGATTTGAAATAGCTATCGAAAAGTTTATCTACTCAGTTATGTTTATGTAATTTACTACTGGTAACCTACCGGCGACATTAGCTAGATGACATGAGGTGAGGGTAAGTACCACAAAACACAACCAAGTTAAACTGGCCCTGTCCATCGCCATTTTTCCCATTTCTACAACGATGAAGTGCTTAACGCGAAGTATTAAACCCTTGACTCATCTGTGTCCGTAAACAATGACATAGTTCATTCATAATTAAGCACTCTAATCGTTCTTTCTCGCTTGTGAACATCAAAAGAACGAATAACGGCTTTGAACAGAGGAGCCACCTGCACTTATTTACAAACTAAAACCAAGTCGCTTGGAACGGATTTTAGCACTTAAGGTTGTTCTCTTCAACATCTAAGTTCTTTCAATCCATCTAGGAAAAAGTCTTTCAAGTTTAGCTGGGCAAGACATGTAACGATTCAATGTCTTATTGAGAGCCGTAAATATCCTATGAGATTTTCATTGTAAATATATGAATGATCTCAGGTTTTGTTTTGTTTTCATCACAGAGCAGAAGTCATGTCCACTAAACATCATGGTCACTGAGCAAATACGGCACTCTTTGTCTATTTACTTTTTAAATGAAAAAAGCTAATATTGAAAATACACAGTCTAAAATCAACAGAGTTGGTTTTCTCTCAAATTATTATCAACTTGAACAAAAAAACTGTTTCTCCAACAAAATGCTCCAGCAATGTCAAAGACAGGATTCACCTAATTCCTCAAAAATGATGTCATATTTAGAGGAAAACAACACAGAAAAATGAAAAAAATCGCTACTGTTAAAATTTGTCTGCTAAAAGGGATACTGTAACAGCTACCTTTTCCACGCAGTCTTAGTCCTGAGATAGTTTCATAAATAACGCCAGTAATAACTATAAAAAAGTAACTGTGAAAAATAAAACAAGAAATGTCACTGAGTAGTCAATTGGTCACGCTGTGTGTTTTTTATTCTCGTCTTTATCTATAATATTACACATGTCAGTGCAAATGCAAATGACGAGTTCAACAGGACCACCCAACGGGAAGACTTATACATCATAAGGCTGACTGACAAACAGCCATTTAGAACACTAACCTACTTCTGCCCTTTTTAAAATCACCTAACATAACGCAAGCGAAGTCGAACCGCATCCAAGTGATCCGGCTGGAACCGCATGCAAGTGAGCCCGCTCGTTCAGGTCGCTAATTTCTTACATCAGTGAGATCTAAAGAGGCCCAGTTTGAAGCCTCTTAATAAAAAGAGGAAAAAAGCCGCGGAATAGCTACAACTTTTAGAGATGATTTCAGGCAAACCAGAGATTCATTTATAGATATAATACATTTATTAGTAGCATCAAAAGTCATTGCTATTAGCATTGCGCATGCTCACTAGTTTACTAGTTTGAGCACTCTGGCATGGCTTAGACGATACCACAAGTGTGGGATCGTTTGGGGTGACCATATGGCTTCTGCTCCATCATAGGGTCAGCACTGCCCTGATGAGGTCTAGCTGGCCGAAACAGTACTGTCTGCAGTTAGTTAATACATTAATTATATGGCTGAACGGGTCTGAGATGAACTGAAAAAGGAGATTTTTGATTGGTTCCCTGAGCGGTCAAAATTTTGCAATAGACTGACCGCTCACGAATTTATTTCTGCGAATTGCGTTTTCATTTCATTGCACAAAATAAACATTTTTTTGTTAGTAAAAATATTTTTACCCGTATTTTTGGAGGACAATTTCAATTAAATGTTCATAAAAATCGACGCGAAAAACGTAAACAAATGCTTACCTTTTGCCCGTTTTCCGAGAATGATAAGACGCATCAATTTATCAGCAGATTAAAAAGGGCCAATCACAGATGCAGCCAAATCAAAAGGCTTTGGCGTAGTGTTTGGAGACCACTGGGCGTACAGTGAATGGCTAGGAGACTAATATCAAGCGCAATGTTTCTTTCGTTGAGTTTTACCCAGTGTGGTTGGGTTAAGCTTGTGGTGTCGGACACTTAAGAACACGCGGGTGTTGTTCATGACCGACAACAAAAGTGTGGTGCATGTTATTAATAAGCAAACATGACTGGATCCTTGCTTGCTATCCCCCATAAGACAGCTGGTGTTAATATTTAGCTCTTATTAATCGAGCAGGAGGTCTGTACGGGAAAATCTTGACCGAGGTCCGTTAGTACAGGCTGAAGCCAGTGAGGTCTGTACACACAAACGAGGTCAAGATTCTC